AAAGGAAGAGCTACTATCAAGGCAATGCTCAGATATGTGTGGCTTGAACACATTCCAAGAAACTTAAGTTGGGCAAACATCTCAGACAGCCCTGTCCCTAATTTATAAAAATAAAATCATCAAGACAAGCTCTTGCAAGATTGAAATGAGGGTAGGTATCAGATCCTTCAATAGTTTAATTCAATGGCTGGCAGCACAGAGGCTGGAAGTGTGGTGATGATCGTTGAAGGTACTTTGGTTGTGATCCTGTAAGGTGTGTGTTGTAAGTCCCTTGTGTATGAACCCAGCAGATTCCTTTTCTCTTGTTGTTGATCTGATAGCAAAATCTCCTTGGCCACTGGTGCTTGGAAGAGCTGGGAGGGGAGAATGTCCATGAACCTGTTTTCAAGAAATCTTGGAAATTGACTCATGCTGGTGGTCACTCATTAAACCTTTCTTTTTTTTTACATCAGAGCATTTGGCTTGTGATCTGAAGATGAACAACACTGTTATTAGTCCTTCACCAGGAACAGATCACTGCCTAGTCCTGTGCTGGTGAACCTATGGCACACATGCTGGAAGTGGCACACAGAGCCATTTCTGCCAGCACTCAAGGTCGCCTGGAAGAGCCCCACTGTCCAGGCACGCCCTCTGCCAGCCAGCTGATTGTTGGGTATCTACCGCATGACCCCCCCATTCCACGCCTCTACACATGCACAGGCAACCCCCCTCACACCGCATGCCTCTGCATATGCACACGCATTGCATCATGGGTGCAGGCACGCAAGCGCATGCACACACGCTTTTGGCACACAACCTGGAAAAGGGGCCTAGTCCATATAAGCCCGATTACTCCTGGTAACCCACATAGGATGATGGGACGGAGGTTAAAACTGTTCCTTTGTCCCCAGCTACTTCATGCCTCTAGATCAGGGTTGACAAACTCGATTTCATTGAGGGCCGCATCAGGCTTGTGTTTGACCTTCGGGAGCGAGTGGGTGTGGCCAGCTCAACGTCACTCGTGTCGGGGACACCCCTCCCAGGCTCCAACAGCCTCCTGCAGTGCTCTGCCAGAGAAAATGGAGAACCATGGTGCCTCTGCCAGCGAAAATGGAGCTCAGGAGGGAGGCCCTCTCGAGTTTCATTTTTGCTGGCAGAGGCACTGTGGGCCAGTCTTTTACTGTTTCCAAGGTGGCTCCACGGGCCAGATCTATACACCCCACGGGCCAGATCCGGCCTGAAGGATTTGCTTGGCACCCCTGCTCTAGATATACTGAAGTAGACCTATGCAGTTCTTGGTGTTCTCTAAGCTTGGTGATTTTTCTGCAGATGTTTCATTACCAAACTATGTAACATCATCAGTATGGCAGGCAGGTTAAGTGCTTGGTGAAATTCTGAAACAAAGAAATGGCCAACAGCTGGGTGTAAATGTCCCCTTCTATGGAATTGCGACTGTTTGCCAAACTATGTAACATCATCAGTATGGCAGGCAGGTCAAGTGCTTGTTGAAATTCTGGAACAAAGAAATGGCCAACAGCTGGATGTAAATGTCCTCTTCTATGGAATTGCGACTGTTTGCCAATCGTGGGTGCTGCTAGATTTAATGAAGAGCAACACTTCAAGTGACAGTAGAGAAAAGCAGGAACTGAATATACTGTAACAAAATATAAATTACAACTCATATTTGGGTGTACAGCATGTTTATAGGCCTTTGTATCATGCATGCTGTATTATATTTTATATTACTGTACATGCTGTATTTTATTTTAACAAGTCTAAGACTGTCCTATAATAAAGTTTAATAGACATTACATCTCTGCTCTTCTTGGCTTGTTGCCCAATGGTCTTATTTAAGGTGGCTTGTTTTCTGCTGGTGAAGACCATCCACAATTAATTTATCTTTATATTAGGTTTTTACGATGCATTAACTTATGGAGTACAAAGAATAGCAAAGTAATCCCATCTGCAAATTGATCTACTCAATTGATAGAGGTGGCCACAGAAAGTGAAACTAAAGGAAAATTTGCTCTATTCTAAAAATAGAGTGACTTCCAAATCACACACAGATACACACTATCAAGCTTTAATTCTAATAAAAATGTTAATATAAACTTCAAAGCAATTATTTGATGTTTCCAACAGAAGATAATTCAACTTTATTCTTCAAGATGTGCAGTATATTACTGCTTTATAGTATATTAATTTGTATTGGAAGTTCATCTCTCTCTAGAAGTTGCTAAGAGTTAAATTCAAGTATACGTTGACAGATTAAAATAAATTACATAAAGTGCCAATTTTAATCAAAATGCCCTTTTATGGCTTGGTGTCAAGGTATCTACAGAAGTCATCTCTTTTATCCAGGATCAACCCATTTGATCATGTAATTTAGGGAAATTGTTGGTAGTAACCCCTTCTCCTGAAAGATTAAAAAGACTGAGGCTACAATTTTCTTTTCCATTATGGCCTTCTTATTGTGGAATAGCTATTTACTAGAGGTCAAGTTTGCTCTGAACTTACTGGCATTCCAGAAGCAGTTTCTACCAGAATTCTTCCAAAAGACCTTTTTCATTTCTTAAGATAGCACCACAGAAATTGTTTATATCCTCCAGTTTTAAGACAAGTTAAATGACTGTTATCACTAAATATCTATGGAGACTCTCAGTCATCCAGCTCATGGTTGTTCCAAAGATGCTTTTTCAAGAGGCAACTGAAGAAAAACCAGGAAGTCCAGTTGCCTCTTGAAAAAGCACCTTTGGGACTGTTATCACTGTATTTATTATCATTAGATTATTGTAGTGTGGATGTTTTCCTTTTAAACTATTGACATGCACATGATTACAATGGTCTAAGAATCTAATGAATATATAATTACTTCTACTCCAAGTTTTTCTCCACTCAATTATTCTGAATGAGTTTATATCCAATTACAATATACTGTATATAAAGCAACTTTTCTACAATATTCAAAGCAAGCTCACACATTCACTTGGAAATGGTTCTTTTCCCCATCTGATCCATTTATAAAAAAGCATGTTTCCCCATCTGATCCATTTATTGTGTATTTAATTAACTACATATGTACTACCAGGTTTTCAATGAAGCTCTTATTTAGCATAGTCTATTCATTATACCCAATTCAGTGTTCTTGAGATATTTTGAGTATATTTCCATATCAGCAAATCTGATTACAGAATGATTTAGCAACGTATTGCTCAACTAATAATAACACAGATATATAACAAGCTCAGTTTTATGTTATACTATCACATTTTGATATGTTCTAAAACAACAATCTGTGCATATGAGGATTTATAATAGATTCCACAGAGTTCTATGAGGAAGTAAATAGATCACACTACACATTGGCACACAGTTAGAAGCTAAGAAAATTGCCCACAAGTTCTGCTGCATGCATGCCTGCACAATCAAAATTCAGTCCATTTCCTGGGTAGTGTTGTGTTTACTGTGGTGAACTGGAATAAATTATGGTAAACTGTGCCTTCACTCTACTGCCATGTCCCTTTATATAAATACATTTCAAATCCCTTTATTGTAACAGTCAGGCTAAAATTTAACATTTGCAGGTAAATCTAGTTGGAGAGCTTTTATTATGAAACAGCCATTCTATATCTATTAACATGAGTATTACAAAAGTGGAAAAGGAAGAAAAGTAGCAAATGGTGCATACCTAGGCAAAATGATGTGCTGTATTTGGAAGATGAACAGCCATCCTTTCACAAAACCTATACTGTACACATTTGCTTGTGTGATAGCTCCACTGAATCAGTGAGACTCCCCCCCCCCCCCCCAGTAAACATAGAAATGAGCGAGACAATCAGAGCATCCTTCTGAAATATTTAGCCTGTACACATATTTGAGCGGGCAATGCAAAATCAATGTATTTTTATGACTCAGGATTTAGTATGGTTTTAATCTGCTCAACAAGCGTTCTCAGAATTTGGCATAACAAGAAGCACAACAAACAATATGCAAGTAAATTACAGTAATCAGTACAGGAAAAGACATGATGCATACTTAATTATTTTGGCAGCATCATATATTCACCAGCTGCCCTGATTTTGGACTACAGGAAAGCATGTGCAAGCCTACAATAAGCAAAGTGTGCCTTCTGAAAAGATTTTAATGCAGTGGATCCTTTTTAAATAACAGAGGAAATGTTGCTTTAATTAAGCAAGGTGAACACAGCCAAGAACACAGGATCTGCCCATCAGCAATTCCTTTTCATAACATGATGCAGGCAAAGATGATCCCCTGCAAAGTGGGACTAGCAACAGATGCTTTGGCATAATCTTTCTTCTTGGCCTTTATACCCCCTGAAGCATTGCAACCATTCGCCCTAAATGACGATTTGCCCAGCGGGAGAAGCACCTCCGAGGGTTCCTAGTGAAGGAAAACCTCTGGCCGCGTCTTCTGTGCGGAAAAAGCGCCCAAAGCCATTCAATTGAGGCGGGAAAAGAAGATATCACCGAGGGCTGGAACCAATGGAAAGACCCTGAGGGGCAAAGGTGAGCCCCAGGGCTGTCAGTTTTCTCCCTCTGGCTCGTCGCCATTCAGACGTGAAAGAAAAGGAAACCTGAATTCAGCGCCGCCTCGAGGGGTTCACAGCGCTTATTACACTTAGTTTCCCTACAGAAGCGAAGCGTTCCGCTCCATTTGCCTATTTTATTACCGAGGCTTTTGCGAAGGCTGCGCAATCTCCCTCTGCCCCCACCCCGCAAGCAAATCTCTTCCAGGAACAGAGGAGCCAAAGGGCGCCTCAGCCAACCCTTATCTTTCCCGCCACGCCTTCCGTCCCCGTAGAGCGTTTCACCCAAAGGACAACAGACTGCGGGACTAGCCGGGTGAGGGGGGGGGGGCGGCGCATTTCATCCCTCACCTCGGGTTCGCTGTCGGGAAACGGCTTCTCCTCCTGCTCCCTTCCCCCCGCCCTTGCGAGCTCCCGCGCTCCGGTGTCCATCGTTCCCCCGAAGGGGGCAAAAAGAGGAAGCGCACATGCTTACCCAGCAACTCTTTGGGAACGTCCGCGCTCTCTTCGGTCATCCTTGCTGGGGGCTTTGCCTTCCCTCTTTGCAGGCGAACGTGTTGCTTTTGCTGGTGACAATTGCTCGCGTTTCCCGCTCTCCGCCCTCACCTTCCTAGATATCCCCCTCTTCAGGCAAAAGGATTCCGATCAGCTGTGTAGAAAATAAGGGGAGGAAAAGGGCCCCGCGATCCTGCCGCTTTCGGAGGAGGAGGAGGCGTTTAAAAAGATCGGAAAGCCGAGGGAGAGTTACAAGATTATTGCTGCACGACGCCTCTTCATCTCAGCTGCAGGCGGAGCGAGGGTTCGCGAGGGGAAAAGACCGCAGGCTCAGACCGCCTTCGCGCGGCTCGGCTCGGCTCTCCTTTTTCCCCCTGCTGCGTCTGCGCTCCTCGCTTTCGCTTTTTCCTCTTTCCTCCTTCCTGGCCGCGGACGAGCTTCTCTCTCTCCAGCCCGGCTCCCCTCCAGCCTCACGCAGCCACCTCCCGGCCTGAGGTGCAAGCGGAAGGCGTGGGTGGAGGCGGCGCTGGCGGCATTCCTGGTTCTCGCGGACCCCAGTCCGTGGGGCTTCCCCTCGGGCACCCACGCAACCCGCTCCAGCCAAGCGACGGCCCGCTCCAGCCCTCTTCCCCTCGCGAGAGCCAGCCGCGGTCTAAGCGCCCGCCCCGAGAAAGGCTCGAGTTGGGGCGAGAAAGCTCGTCTTCTAGGCAAAAGGGGATTTCTTACCCTTCGCCAGCCCGGCGTTAGCTCACAGATTCCATGCGCACAAACCAGGCAGGGAGCCGGAACGTGCAAATAAAGGACACTGGCGGCTCTCCCTTTGGTCCCTCCTTCGTTCCCACGAATTGCAGAATCCTCGCAACTACGGAAAGAGATCGGGAGCCATCTACTGGTTTCTGGTTTACTAAGCCTGGGGCGGAGGGGGGAGGGAAGAGAGAGATCCTTCCCTTCCCGTGTTCCCATTTCTACCATTTTTTTTAAAAAAAGAAAAACTTATTTTTAAGGCGATTCGCGCTTGTTGAAAAGCAGCCCCGACCCATCAAATGAGGTTGGATCCGAATAACCCGAATGGTCGTGGTTGTAATGAAATGTTTTTTTGTTTTTTTTTAAATCTCCGTTCAAATGTAACTTCAGGTCATTGAGTACTTCGACGAGATGTTTACAACTTACCCAGCTGGAGCTGTGGTGTACAGAAAAAAAAGGCTTTATTAAATCTGATTTATACAGCTTTCTGAGCATCTTAAGGCCTGGACTGGACTCGAATTCTGATAGGGAAAAATGCACTAATAAAGTAGGATAAGTTTTAGGAACTTGGGAGGCACTAACTTTGTATCCAGCATTCTTCAACTAATAATAAAAACGGTTTAATCTCAAGATTTCCTGAGGTATTGCTAACAATGTGGAGTTTGAAAGAATTGTCTCAACCCGTAGTGATGTACTGTTAAGATTTATTCTATAACTTAGTTTCATTAGGAAATAAATGGATTTATTACATTGCTTTTTTATGTTGGTACTGAAACTCTTCTCTGCTTTGGCTGATTCAGCTTGTAAATACTGTTTTCACAGACATTCAAGTAGCAATTTGATGATAGTAGGTAATTTAAGATTTAGCAAATATCCCATTGCTGACACTTAAAATATTTTCCAAAGCTTTTTATAAGCTCTGGAGCAGCTTACCTTAATTTGGTGTCCTCCAGTTATGATGCACTGTGATACCGCTGATATGTCTTAGAAAATATTTTATGAATTTGGGTGAAATTCTGGCCCATGCCAAATTTGTACTTTAACTTCCACATTACATTTTCTGAAGACAAGGAGTTGCCAGTTGCTTCCTTAAAATCCATAGCTTTAGCAACACAGGTCAGTTTCTAACAGGATTTTTATGACAAGGGGTGGTGTTTGATTTTGGGGTGTGTGTGTGTAACTATAGGTAGCATACAGAAACAAAAACACAAACTATTTTTAAAAAGTACAACCCCCCCCCCTAAATCAAATTACATTTGTTGTTGTAGTTGTCATTAAGGTGTCTGACTCTTTGTGATGGTCCACAGCATGCCAGGAATGCTCTGCACCCTGTCCTCCACTGTCTCCTGGAGTTTGTCCAAATTCACATTTAATGACATCGTCTATTTCAGTGGTCCCCAACCTTTTTTATGCCGCGGCCCGGTACCGGCATCAGCTGGGCGCTGCGGCCCGGTACCGGCATCAGCTGGGCGCCGCCATCTTGTTTTGATGAAAAAGTGCTTCCGGTGAGCTTTCTACCCGGAAAAGCTCACCGGAAGCACTTTTTCATCAAAACAAGATGGCGGCGCCCAGCAAACCAGCGGCCCGGTAGGATTTGTTCCACGGACCGGTACCGGTCCGCGGACCGGTGGTTGGGGACCCCTGGTCTATTTCATCCTCTCTTTGTCCCCTTCTCTTTTTGCCTTCAATCTTTCCCTACATCAGGGTCTTTTCCAATGAGTCCTCTCTTCTCATTAGGTTGTCACAGTATTTTGAGTTTCAGCTTCAGTATCTGTCCCTCTAAAGAAGTCAGGGTTAATTTCCTTTAGGATTAACTGATTTGACCTCCTTGCAGTCCAAAGGATTCTTCCCCAACACAATTCGAAAGCATAAAAAAAAATGGCACTCAGACTTCCTTATGGTCCAGCTCTTCACAGCTATACATTACTACTGGGAAAGCCATAGTAAGAAAGCTGATGTCTCTGCTTTTTAATATGCTGTCTAGGTTTGCCATAGTTTTCCTCTCAATTTATTACATTGTCAACATATAAATAAAATGGCAATCACAGCAGAATTCCATATCCTGTCCTAGTGTTTGTTGGAAGAGCTGTATCATAGCTCATAGTCAGCCAAAAGGGTTGAAGTGTGTATCACAGGGAGGTTGTTCTACATGACACATTCCATGACAGAGAAATCACACTAACTGGGACCCGTCACGTGACACTAGGTAACTTATGAGACTTAGAGCACATTTGTTTCCCAATACCTCTAGAATAGCTTTCTCCAACCTTAGGCTGTCTCCAGGTGTGTTGTACAGTTCCTGACTACTGTGGTCTGCAAACCATAGTATGATATAGGAACCCAATCTGAGTATAAAATAAGATTAAATGACTGTGAATAAATGAGAAATAGACTAGCATCCTTTATAATACCTTCATATTTATTGTGATGCATTATATAATCTTAATCTAGATTGAGATCTTGATGCTTGCTGCAGTTTCTTCTTATAATATTTTAATTATCAAGCTTGATAACGAGAAATATTTGAGTGGATAAATGTTAGGCATATTTTTATTCTACCTTTGAAGATTTATTGCCTTATTACCACATCTGAAAAAATAGATCACTATTATATATCTAGAAGAAACACTAGATCACTATTTATTAAGGTCAATATTATAAAACTTACAAAAAAACTTTTTAAGAATTTGCTCATTTAGTTTTCATTATAGATGATTTTTGCTATAGATGATTACATTTATAATGTATTAATGTGATTAGTGAATAATAATTCTATGAGTTACAATGTTGGTATTTGAATGGACAGCGATTCCTGTCAAAAATGCAGAAAAAAAATTCTGCCCATTTATTGAAGACTGCACATGAAATTTTCTCAAAAAATGAACAAAAGAAGAAAGACTGCACCCTGCAGGGTCTTCTTAGTACATATTACAAGCTTAAAGCACTCAACATAAGCCACTAAGAGAAGAACTACTCATGTCTACTTAGATGTAAACCATAATTATTACAGTTATTATCTGAGTTGTCCATCAGCTCTTTCTTGTGGCTGTTGGTGCAGGTATGTGGTACTGGAAAGAAATATATTAATCTAAACTAGCAAAACACACACACACACACACACACACACACACAAATAAATAAATAAAAATATTTATTATCTGTTGCTGGTTTTGGTTATCTGATTAACATGTTCCTCTGAAGATTTTCTTCCTGTCCCCCTCCCCCATATCAATGTAAGGTATATCTTGGGTAAATAGATGACTAATCCATGAACAAAGTGCCTACTTTATCCTCATCTAATGGGTTTCTGCCAGGATCAAGTTTATATTATTGATCATAAAACAGCTAGCTATATTCTTCCATTCCTATCTTTCTTGGCTGTACCTATCATTTGTCTTTCCTTTGCAACTTTATTCATTTTTCCCTCTCTCCCATGCATAATCAAATAAGGGCACAATACTAAGCTGTTCCACTGACAACAAAATTATAAAGTATTCAACAAACTGATGGTTCTCTTTCTGGCACTAATTCATTTGCACCGCTGTCAAGAAAGCACCATTAAATTTTCAATACATTACCAGTTCTTTACTGATAGTAGTCATTAGCACACATTCTTTGCAGGAGGTCAAAATGTTTTTGCAATGTCCTGTTGAATTTTCTATTCTGGGAAATTCATTTTCTGATGTTAGATATTCGGAGTGCCAGCAAGATTAGCGCAGCAGAGAGATTTTTTTTTTAGCAGAGTATGAAATACAAATAGATATAAACAGATCAATCTTTTTGCTAGGTAATGAAGTCTGACATTTGTGATCCAGCTAGAAATATACACATTAACTTTAAAGCTATTAAGAAAATTTTTTACTTGAATCACTCAAGGCCTTTTGGACAATTTTAGCTGTACTTATTCGCTGTCAGCTCTGTTTCTCTCATGTACAACTGTGTCAGCATCATTAGGTTGTATATACTCCATAAATAGAGATCATACTAACATGCTGCTGTTCTTAAATATCTCAATCACACTACATGACAAAGTTTTAGGTGGGTTTTCTTTGGCTGCTATTTTGAGGTATATTATATACCTAAACCTATTTAATAGGAACTTCTTGAGTTGTTTCTTTCAGGACAATCCTTTGTAGATTTATTAGGAAGTAAAAATTCCATTCAGTTCAAAACACATTCTAAGTAACTATGCATAAAATTGAATTGAACAAAGTGAGATTTCCAAATAAATTACATTTTATAATTGTGTAAATGCTACCAATGAAAGAAAATTCAGACTGAAAATAAAAATTCCACTTAAGAGTATACAAGTTTCCATTCATATCTACTTAGTTTTAAAGTGATGGTTTATAACATACCTCCATTAAATACTCTAGAATACAATAGTAACAGCAAATTATAAAAACATTTGGAATTAGGAAACAAAAAATTACATTCTCTGGAAATAATTCATTCTATTTGTTTTTACAAAACAATCTGCAAAGTTCAAAAACATCTGTTTAGAACAGTCAAATAATTTCATCTATTTGTTTTATCATGTCACAATTTATATTTTTTCTAAGTATTTTCCTGAGGATTATAGCTTTTAAAAGAATAAATAGTGCTGGTGATCTTCCAAATGTATGACAGAATTCCAAAAATCTACTAATGCAAGATTTTGCAAGATCAGAATCATGTTGTGATTGTCAGGAATAGAGATCCAATATAGTACAGGGGCTTTCCAATTTGGTCTATAAGGTGCTTCACATTGCCCTCTTTCCCCAGGCCTGGAACAGACAACCATTTTTTGTAATCTACCCTTTCCTTATCCAATGCTATGATTGGAAATTCCTACACACAAAAAGCCTGCCCACACACACAGTAAAATATTTAATGTAGCCTCTATTTACACCAGTGATTTACAGATAGCAATCATTGAGGTTGTGCAATTTTATTTGTTCATTTTTGTATGTCTATGAACAGAAAGTTTAAATACAACAATATGTGCATGCAAGCTTATGTGTACCTTCAGATAAATACATTGGAAGTTAAAATACCATAATGGAAGAGTACATGTTGTTTTTCTTTTG